TTTTGTGATATATTTGTATATATAGCTGTTTTTAAACGTGATATTTATTGGCGAGCAGTCACGTTAATTCGTTTTTGGGATGACAAGAACGGACTAAATTAATGATATCATCATAACTGCCTCCAATCGTGAATATATTTCATGTGAATTGGCAAAAATACGAGTCGTTCCTCGCCCTTACTTCCAAAATTAACATATACTTTACATTTATCACACTAAAAAAATATTTTTGTTTTTTCTTCATCTGCAGTAAATGTCATTATCGCTTGTGAGATTGTGAAATTGGTGTGGTTCATATTTGTATAAAAATGGCTATATTGCATTAATATGATTGATTTGAAAATAAAACGACTCAAAAATAGTTTTCCAGTTTGGCACATGAATTCACTAGCTACCGGCTGAGAAATAAAACACACATTTCCGCCATATGCTATGTTCATAAAGACATATTATGGGATGGCCGTGCACACAAAACCAGTATATGTGATTCAAGAAATTTCAAGAATAATGAAGGAGGATATTAAATCGGGGTACTTTGGCGTATTGGCGGACATCGTGTAATATTTGAATGGTACACGCTGAAACCTCCGAGTCGGACAACTAATAATTAGTAGTTGTCTGAGCTGAAACAACATTCGTAAATAAGAGCCGGAAAGTGAGAAACCTATATCAACTTTGAGAACCTATTGGAATCCACGATGCACGTATCGGATGTACGCTTTTACTTTTCGGTTGCCATTGGACCAAATGACTATGCAAAATAGTTCTAGTCACATCAGCAACATGACACGATTCTGTCTCCGTCGGAGAGATATGGCACGGTTCCGTATCAGCACAGTCCCTCCATAGTCTCCCCGGGGGGTCACTCTATATTAAAACCTTACACCATGTGCGTTCTTGCTAAAAAATAATAGGTCCCTAGGGCTGGCAGCACATTGGCAAACCATACCCCCTATTGCGAACGCAACGTAAATGTAGTACCCCCCTAGAGCAGACATATTGAAGAAAAAACATATTGAGAACATCCTACCCCATATTGCGAGCATTCTCTGTCGTTTTTTTTTTTTTTTTTTTTTTTTTGCAACCAAGTGGAGTGTGATCAACTCAAACAAGTTACTATATATGCAACTCCTGTTGGTGTCATTCATTGTTAGATGAAGAAAGATGAAAACAATTGACATGATTATGAATATGATCATTTATTTTATAGTTTAATACACAATGCACACGTGCGGCTTATTGTAATCGACGAAACGAAACAAAACGGGATAACACACATAATACAAATTAAACTTTAATCAGTGAAAATGGGTTTTATACGCACAATATTTACAAAATATTTGCCGAAAATAATAGTATTTAATACGTAGATAATCACAAATCTGTAATCAGCGAATACACGTGCAATATTAAAAGCCGTCGGTTGAAACTTGACCAGTATATTCCGTGACCTTTCAGTAGTGTATATATAACAACATAAAACATATTCAAAAATCTGTAATCAGCGAAGCAAGGGTCTGACACGTACAATATTAACAATTGTCGGTCAAAACTTGACCAGTATATTCACCTTTCAGTCGCGTATATAACGACATTAAACATTTGCTGAAAATAACGGGGATTTTATGATTAGTGAATGGTTCGTTTCGCTAATTATAGATAATTGTTTTACTTGTCAAGTTTCGTCCGATATTTGTGATTATTGTATCTGTAATTTAATAAGACCCTGTTTCGCCGCGTGATTGCAGATTTTCGATTATCTGTAATTAGCGAAACGAACCATTTACTGATTATATTTTTATTATCTTACTGAAAGGTGAATATTCTGGTCAAGTTTCGCCCGACTGTTGTGAATATTGTACGTGTCAAACCCTTGTTTCGCTGATCATAGATTTCGATTATCTGTAATTAGCGAAACAAATCATTTACTAATTAAAATCCCGTTATTTTCAGCAAATGTTTTATGTTATTATATACACTACTGAAAGCTAAATATACTGGTCAAGTTTCCACCGACAGTTGTAAATTTTGTACATGTAAGAACCTTGTTTCGCTGATTACAAATTTGTGATTATCTGTAGTTAGCGAAACAAGCCATATACGTATTAAATATTATTATTTTCGGCAAATATTTTGTAAATATTGAGCATATAAAACCCATATTCACTGAATACAGTTCAATTTTTATTATGTATGTTATCCTGTTTCGTTTTGTTTCTTCGATTACAATAAGCCTTCTCCGTATTTGTTGGAAGTGGCGGGTAAGTCCCAGTAGGAAAGTTCAGGCGGACGTTTGCTATGGGGCTATGGGTCCGCCAATTCGGGGCCTAGGGCGGTGTATGAGAGTGGTTGTTGCAAGAGCGGGCCTACAGCGGGCGCAGCAACCCTGTGAGTTTATTTCTGGGAGCCTATTGCAGACATTAGCATTTTAAAGGGGCCTTTTTGCCTCCCGCGCGGGCCCACTCTGGAAGGTGAAAAACACCCCGCTTTCCCGCTAAATTTGGAACGCACATGGGGTAGTAACAGCATATAGAGTGACCCCACCGGGCATAGTCTATAGAGGGACTGTGGTATCAGCGAAGTATGACATGGTTCCGTCAGAGAAGTATTGTGTCATGGACACCGGCGATCACAGGGACCAGGGAACTTTCTCTCGCTTGGCTGATGTCACTTACATGTAGGGATAACAGGTTCGACCCAAATGAATATACATATGTTTATTACAGATAGTCCAGCTTTATTCACACACGCAGTCAGCTGAGGTAACCCCTCGCTGCACCGTTCTTTCGCCACTACTAAATACAATAAGTAGACAATCTATTTATCAACTTCCTCTAATATATAAAAACACCAGTTGACAACAGAGTTTGCAGGATGTGTAACATACTTGAAGATGAAATACATTTCATTACATCCTGTAAACTCTATAATACAGATCGTGGTCTTCACTGAACAATTTCCAGATTTCCAGTCTGCCAGTAATATTGAAAAATTTAAGTGTATCATGATGCATCAGAAATCAAACTCATTAAACATGTTATTACCTATCTTAAATCATCTTATACTCTACATGCTAACTTCCAAGCACAATGAAAATTTTCTTCTCTTAAGCACTATTAGTACTGTACCTAGTAGTAGTTGTGTATTTTTTATGTGATTTAGTTACTTCTTTTTGTTATACTTTTATTACAATTAGCTAAAATTGAGATGTAATTTCACAATACGGCGTAATAAAGTTGCAAGTTGTTGATTCTAAACAATATTACAGCGTCGTGTAAACCGGATGTGCGAACGTGACGTCGCTATCATAACAATTGCATGATTCCGTCAGAGAAAATCTTTTCCACGTTGAATGTGATCTGGATAGTCGAGAACAGGCGATATACACCGGAGAACGAAGGCTTCGTCGAATTTTAATTTGATTGCGAACTGTATGCACTGATGTTGTTTTCCTCCTGTGAATGAGACAAAGCCTTGAATCTAACCCAATTAAATTTTAATTGATGTATAATTGCAAGTATTAAACTAATTCTACACATACTTGAAGATCCAATAAAACTGAAATATTCTGTCAAAAATGTAAATATATACATATGAATAAATGGCTAACAGTACCGCGTTGTGCATGGAATAGCAGCGTGTGACTGCCATACCAGCAAATGTTGAATATACCGTGACGAATGAATGATGGATTCAGCTATCCTGTACGTAATTTTGACCGTATCCTAACCGAAATACCGCATCTTATATAACTGATAATATAATCGGTATGTATTATGGCGTCGAATCGTACTTGAACTGCCTGAATGCATTAGCTCAATTAACGTAGCACCAGCGGGAGCTAAACCAATCAGGTGTGTGACTTTTGTGTTACGTGTTTATAATGTTGTTGTGCAAGGAAGATATACCTTGACAAGCCTCTACATATGCTGTAGAGGCCGACCTACCGCCATGTCTATATAGTGCATGTCGTAATGTCGTTGTACATCGATAATTTATTAGTACATTTACCAGTCACAACGGGGCTCTATGTCAGTTGCATCGTGTTCCCTGAAACACATGGGGTAAGTGTGACCTTTCAGTTGGGGTACCGTATCTAAAGGATTGTCATCGTCGATGCTATACTGTTGCAGTGATGTATGATGCGCAATAGCATTGCAGGGTATGATTCGGTTATTGCATTTCATGGCGGCCCATTATGCCTCCGCTGAGACCAGTATGCTACACTCCGATCCGATGAGAAGGGTTATTTGCACCAGGCTCTAATCTGCATGAAGGACCAAAAACAGTCCTGTTAGATTGGTTGGTTGGTTGGCTGGCTGGCTCGAGTTTTTAATTATAGCCCCCCCCCCCCCCGTCGATAGTATTTACGTCCGCGAATTGACGTGCACATTGCAGGTGTACACATATAACAGTACAGTACATGTATGTAAAAAAATGCTTATATTTGATTGGAAAAAACACGTATACATTTGATAGTAAAAAAAGTCACACACATTTTCCTAAACATATCTAGGTCAAAACGTCACCGCCATATGTAATGTACCTACTATGTTTTCCACCAGGCTCAATAGAGGGAATTGTTTTTGTGTATCAAAATCCCAACCCAATGGACGTAACAATATGTAAATAACCCAAGGTTTTTGTGGCGAACTGGCGGCGTTTTGAATTTGTCCGTATTCGGGCATGTAAACGGCGTCTAACTCTCTACTATAGGACTGCATTTTGTAGTCAATTTCCCCTGTTGCCCCTCACTGCCCCTGCCGCCCCCTCCGTGGAAAACATTGATGCATATTGGGTTTACCAAAGCTCGGCGCCACTAATTAAACTTAGCGGTATATGAGCTTCAGTATTATCATCTTAGCTGTATTTTTTCTCAGGTCATCTTAGGTTAAGACGTATCGTGATGAGATGCAGCTCCGGGGTAGTATACATGTGTTCATGGTCGAAGATCAAAGTCGTGTTCATTACAGTCCAACCATCTATAAATAGCAGCCATCATGCCAAAATGCGATAAGGCAAAAACACTGTACGGCTTGGGGTTTTCCGCCGTTTTCACTCTCGGTCTCGGCATTGTTTTACTCTGCACGGGATATTGGAAATCAGACGCCGATCAGAAGGTTATTTCCTACGTCTACCTAGCGGGCAGTGCCGTCTTTTTTGGCATAATTCTCCTCAGGTTGTGTATGATGAGCGACAACCCTTGCGTTAAAAAGATTCTGATTGGACTACATTTACGCGATGATAGAAATCAGCTGGACGAGTTGGCAGTACGGCATGCTAGTGAGATACTTCGTCAGCAGTGCAATACACATGGACACAGAGCTGCGGTACAAATTGTAGTACATACAGGGCGCCAACTACCGCCCCACCAACAACCAGTTTGGTAAGTTCATTTCGGATTTATTTAAATCGACGACCGAGGTCACAGTCATGTGATGATACATTATAAACCTTGTCATCTCCCTAAACCCAGTAGTTCACGAAAAAGACGCGGACTGTTTCGCTTAGCAGGAACAATACAGTTTTAGTAAGTACATGTACTATAATCCTGTATACAGCGGGGGAGGGGCTGTTTCGTGCTTGTTACAGGGCAAGTTTAGGATTTTAAGATTCGCCCGGGCTTACAATTCCTCGACCTGGGCCACTGTTACATATAGATGTACCTGTGTTATGCCCATGTAAAGCGAGGTATGGGCAATGCCTGTGAATTGAAACAATCATGATGGACTTTTGTTGCATTTTAAGGTAAGAAATTGGTTGTCGAATCGGACATTGTGTCGATTTCACGGCGGTTGAGTCTCACAGTTTGTGGTTTTTAGACGACTAGTGATGACAAATCAGGGGAAAATAATATATAGTGCTGATCCATTTATTTGGATTTTCACGTCCCAGAATTGCTTGGTCGATTGGGACATAACTTAAAGAAAAAGTGTAATGTCACGTAATTGCCGATAGTACGCAGTAATGTTTTGAATTCTTTTTTAAAGCTCCGCTCGACGAGACAACCTAGAGGAAGCCCCACCCCCATACGAGTCAGTAGTGAACAAGATGGGCGGAGAGGATGGCGTCTGTTCTTCTCAAATCCCGCTCTCAGACTTTCAATTACCACCGGAAGACGAGATTAAAGAAGGACTGCCCACGTATGAAGAAGTCATTAGAAATGCCATGTCTGCTGTCAACTAGCTCACTTACTATTATTAGTTTATTGCATCGTATGTTATTGATATTATGATACAACATATATGATTGTAATACAACAAAAGCTCACATTTCGTTTATTTGAAATACGTTTAGTTCTATGTGTCAGAAACCCATGCGAGTGACAGGAAGACAGGCGAAATTATGTTTTCGTGCAGGTTGTCTTACTTCCCTTGGAACTCCAACTGTGTGACCATGGTTAGGGAACACGCACAACACCATTCTTATCGATCCTGGACCAAATACCATGTCTATGCATGTGTAACTACGGTGTAATGTTTATATGTCTATGTACCATTTAAAACTGCCTCCAATAACGAATAATATTTCTATGTATATAATGATAAAGCAAGATTTGTTTTCATTTGGTAATTTATCCAAAACTATTAGGTTAGCGTCTGGTGAACTTATTCCCGTGCTGGCATGGGACTTAGTTGGCATGTCTTGGTTATCGGTATAATTCGTATTTATGTATGTCACAGTCATTTTTCATTATATGTGTGTGTATTACGTGACAACCAATGTTCATATAGTGTATTGACAGCTGATAAGACACGGTAAAAAGTGTCAAATCTTAGTGGTAGCACCGAGTCGTGTACGATATGCGTCATATACAACTTCGCTGATTCCGGACGTCGCTTGCTTGCACTTGAGGCTGAAATCAGCCAGCCCACAAGAAGCGTATATATGATATTGCGAAGTCCAAACAGTTCGATACGCGTTAACTATCGCCACTGCACAAAGCTGATTCGCACACCACTCATTTGCATGTTCGAATTCCAAGTTATGTTCAACTTGAAGTCATTCGCATACTTTAATCAGTTTAACAAAACGCTTTACACCCGACCCTGAATAAAATGTTCGGTTAATTAGATTAAAATAGACATGATTTGCGTCAGAAAAATGCAGTCCTTTTTAAAGATTTCGAAGCATTACATTATACAATAAATGACTAACTTTATAAACTGACTTTTGTGTTCTAGTACGACTGTTAGACACGAATCCGTTCAAGCCAGAAATAATATTGAAATATTCACCAAAAACAAAATAAACGGAAATGTTAGGAAATCCCTTTGAGTGAAATTAGTGTTAAACCGCGGGTCTGAGTGTATAAAAGGAAAGATGGCCGCCACTTTTCAGTATGCAAATGACACTCAAGCGTGAAACATCTCTTCGGGGTGCTCCGCAAAATCACTCTTTTCGGCAATCTTAACGCCTGTGGTGCTTTATTTTCATGTCGTACACAAACATGAATATGTCCGCGATACAACTGTGATGTTAATTTACGAGTTCGGTGCGATGTCAGTGCAATTTCCGCGTAAAAGCGACGGAAAAGCATGATTCAAACAGTCGTTTTGACTGCTCAAACTGGCTGTAAGTCATGGGTTTATGCAAATGTAAGGTGTTAATCCCGAGTTATTTGTTCCCCGGGATTTGTTCATCTCTAGGTATGTTTATGTAATTACGGAGTTAATCATGTAAGTGATATC